GAAGGACTGCGTAACAATATAGCAGACTCTGTTCAACATTCCCAGCACAAGAGTGAAGGGGGTGAGAACGACAGTGTTGAGTGTGGAGGGCTTTCATGAATGCCGCTCAAAGGAGCACACCACACATCGAAATAAGCACGGTAAAAATTGTGACAGTGAAGGCGTGTAGGAGGATATAGGAAATGTGAATGGCCTAGGACAGGAGAGATACCACAACCCTTTAGCACACGTTTGGTCAAAGGATAGGCTCACTTGTCTCTTTGACGAGTTGTTTTGTGGTGCTGAGAATGGCGACACTCACTGACGATGCCGGTGAAACGTCTGGGAATGTACCACGTCTATGGTCCGACTTTTGGAAATGATCATGCATACAATGGACTCCGGACTAGGTGCGTTTTTCTAAGTCTTCCTAATAATATGACCAAGTTGCAAAAACAAGGTCAATTAACCTCTATACAACGAAAGGAGATTGCGACCACACAAAAGGCCACACCATCTTGGTCTTCATACCTTCGTGTAAACCAAAAGATTCCTCAAATTCTAGTACTCACAACGGAGGCTAAAATTAGGATCATGACCGAAATTAAAGAATAATTTACATGCCTAATAATATTAGAGAATTATTCTTTTTAATATTCAAAGAATTTAGGCAAATTTGTTTAGGGGCTTTAGTAGCACTATTTCGGTGCTCAGCCCACTCTAGTTTAAACATATTTAAAATTTTCTTTTATTATCGCTGTTTCCATGCACAGTACAAACAGCAGAGGACCCTCTTCTTCTTGGCTTGGACAGTACTCATACGGCACCCGATGAAAATGCAGATTTTATCACCTCATCTGCTGCACCATGTAGTAGCCTGTTCTCTCGACGATTTAATATGCTTGCTCGACTGCAAGAGGCGGCATCAGGAGAGAGCTCAGAGCCGGCTGGACTGCTTGGCTGGGCCGTCGATTTACTAACTAAAGCGTTGCCTGCGGCAGCTGCTCAGGCTGGCGCTATTCGCGAAGCCCTTGAAGGCGAGTACCCCAAATTATTACGTCTCTTCTTAGATCTACAGCGCCGTCTCGACTCCACCTCAAAAATGGTCACATGCGCAAAGGCAATGGCAGCACCACCATTGGCAGTGAATACACTCGGTAATCCATACCTTGGAGTATCCCCTACGCCGCTTCGCATGCTTCTCACCCTGTTGAGCCCTTTCGAAGTTGCTTACCTGCAGCGCAGTGTCTCTCGGCTCTTCGACAAGATTGAACTCGCCTTCTCAGCAGCTGGTCCTCCAATCTCAGTTGCTGAGGAGGCGGCCATGGAACTGGAAGGCATAGTTCAAGCGGCCGCTAATGAGCTCACCTATGCGGCCGTGCAATATGACCTTCTCTGCAAAGTTAGCTCAAGACTTCGCTAGGCTTTTTCCACTTCTCTATACACTATCTGTATATTTTTAACCATTAAACTTTCCTTTAAACAATTTTTTTCATTAGGAAATTTCGTCTTTTTCGAAATGCATTATACTCTTCGAAGTACTGGTTTG